CCGCCCCCCCCCCCTCTCTCTCTCTCTCTCTCAGTCCTTCTCGTGGAAATTGGCACTCGCTTGCCTCACGATATGTACAGAGTGACCCCACATCCTAGTTTTTCAAATGAATTTATTTATCACAACTGTACATGACACTAGACATAGTTACATAGGTCCTAAAAAAAAAAAAGGAGCAGACGCAATAGGAAAGAAAGCGCATCCAGTTTCGATGCGCCTGGCTTCTTCGCAACGTCCACCTTGGAATAAGTGAATAGAAAAAGTGGAGGTATGATAATCTTGCTAAAATAGAAGATTTACATCGTTGAAGATACGTATCACACACGCATGACCGACACACGGTTAGAACTCGCTCCGATCTTTCATTTTTAATGAATATAGGAAATTTCTCTCAAAATTCTCTACGGCCCAATTATAAGCCGAAATTACGCTTGCTTCATTCTCAAGATGATATGGCATTCTTCAGTTCGATCGCACGTCATAAAGAGAGCTTAGCTAGAGTTTTTGTAAATCGGCAGGCAGGCAGGCAGGCAGGCAGGCAGGCAGGCAGGCAGGCAGGCAGGCAGCCCGTAAGTGCCGATAGAAGGCTGAACGATTAGACCGGCTGAACGATCATGACGTTAACGACATGGACCTTAGTGTGGGCATTGAGAAGTGCCCTGGAGACGAAGGACTTGGCGCAATAGGAGCACTGATAGGGTCTCTGTCCTGTATGGTAGCGCTTGTGAATCACGAGAGTCGAGTGCTGAGTGAATGACTTCCCGCAGGTGTCGCAGCTGTAGGGTTTCTCCCCGGTATGAGTCCTCTTGTGAACGACGAGTGTTGTCCTCTTATGGAATGCCTTGCCGCAAACGTCGCAGACTAGAGATTTTTCCCCACCGTGAAGTCGTAGATGATCCTGAAGAGAGCCCTTCGAGGAGACCGATTTGCCGCACAGGTGACAGTCAAACTTATTCTCACCGGTGTGCGACTTCACGTGAACCACTAGCGAGTTCTTGTAGGCGAAGGTTTTTCCGCAAAATTCACACTGATGCTTGACGGGTTTGAAGTTTGGATCGTGCATCTTCAAGTGCCTGGCAAGGGTGTGATTATTGGGAAAGGATTTCGCGCAAACCTGGCAAACGTGTTCTTTGGCCTCGTGCTTGACGTTCATGTGTCCGTGAAGCTCGGCGTTTGTGAAGAAGCCCTTACTGCAAATCTCGCAGAATCTCGTGTACTTCTCAAAATGACGACGATGATGCGTCGCCAGCTGAGATGCCTGGACAAATGCGCGGCCGCACACGTCACACACGAAGTTTCGTTCCCGGGTGTGAATCCGCTTGTGCACCG